GAGCTCTGATACCACTTGTTGTGCGCAGCGGAAATTTCGGCAGCACTTCGGCAGCACAACAAGAGAGTCGGATCGCAATAAGAATTCCCGTCTCACAAAGGAAACAAGAATCTGAAGCGAATATCTCAACAAAGTGAGATATCGGCTCTTCCTCTCATCAGTTCTAGGACTGACCTGTCGAGGGATCCTAAAAGCTATTACAAATCACACAAAAGCAGTACAACCAATTTTTACGTGATTCGGCAAATTGTCTACGTCCACGGGGAGAGGATGGGGAGATTTCACTATATGGAGGAGAAATACAACGGGTTACAACTCACAAAATCACTCAAATATAACCCTAACCAAAGCTCTCAACTCCCTCACAATATCTCCCTCTCAAAGTGCTCAAAACAATGCTAATTCTCTCCTATTCTCTCCTTCAATTGTTCCATATATATAGAAATCCTAAAATCATAAACATACTAGGAATTCTAAACCAAAAGCCAAATCAAATTAGGAATCCTAATAACCTATTACCAAAATAGATTAGGAATCCTAAACCAAAATAGATTAGGAATCCAACATGATCTATCTATGAACAGCAGTAATCAAGGACCCAAAAACTTTCATATATGGGTGTCAAATGTGGAAGTTTTTTCTTTTTCGTTGGTTTGGTAACCTTTGTAGTATAATTCATGTATCGTCTGTGTGCAAGCTGAAAAAATTGGGCTTCAGATCAAGAACTATATATAGCGAAGTCTAAAAGTTGATGAAATCTGATCTAGGGATTACATGCCAAATTTCTTCTGGCCTGTTCAAACTAATTGTAGAAAGTTGATCAGATAAAATATCTGGATTCGTGCACAGGATTGTTACCACTCTTTGCATATAATATAGCAATTTAAATCCTGAATAAGACAATTCTAAAACATTAATGAAATCTGATAATTTGCAAAACAATGGAGATACTTTGCATCAAACCCCTACAATCTTGCCGGCCAAAAGACATTTCAATTTGGTACTGTTACAGTTAGCTGAAACTATCATTTTTACATTCTAACACAACAGCTTAACGCAGCAATCGACTTCATGTGAATTTCTCATTATATTGTTGCACCACCAACACCGACATCCCCTCACCGACATCCGTCGATGCAAGCAAGTCTCCTATCGGCCCAAGCTCCGGACGCTCCATCCACTCTGTCAGTCCTGCAGTCAATGGGGATGCCCCCTGTGACCTCCCCACGATGTACAAATCACATCTACAATCAATCGACCTGATTATCGCCACAGTCTCCTCGCTACTATTCACTACCATCTCCACATACTCGATAGATTCATTACCCATGTTTTTCACCCAGAACTCACTTACATACTCTTCATCAGAAATCTGATTTTTATCGACCTCCGAATTACCTATGTCGATGATGCTTGAATGTAGTAATAGTTCATTCGTATCACCATATGAAAACAGTGATGGTGAGATACTTGTTGCTTCTCCAGCAACTTGTTCACCAGGGACAAACCTCATCACGGTGAGGGTGACAGCAGGGTGCTCCGCCATCCTCCACGCATAGGAAAGCGCCTCGCGGTCGTCAGGGCCACCGAAAAACAGAAGGACAACATGTCGTTTGGTGAAGAGACTGGCTTTTCCAACAACCTTCTCGGCGGTCAAGCCACGGTCGACGAGGATAGCAACGGAGCATGGCGCGTAGTCGAGGACGTTCTGATTTACACTTCGGATGGAGAGATTGGCTGCATCATCGACTGTCTGGAGCTTGTCGAAAGGCAAGATAATGATGGAGGAATGCTTTTCTTCCGCAAGGGTGCAGATGTTATCATGCATCAAAGAGTACGGAGAGATGGCCGTGTGGGCTTGAATGGAGATGCCGCCTGCATGCTGCTCGTAGGTCTCGAAGGTAGTGAAAACGTCTTTCGCTTGAGCCTCATTGTTTTTCATGTTAAAGCCACCGGCCATGGAGGAGTTAGAGTCAGTGTTGTGGGAAATAAGCACGGCAGACTCTCTGCCCGTGAGCTCAATGAGGTGGAGAGAGGCAACAGATATCGGAGATCTCTTCGTAGGGTTAGACATGTCGAGGAGGCCGATCAGAGAAGCGGCGTTGTTGTTGGAGTGGGCACAGGCGATCATTCGGAGCTCTTCATTGGGCTTCACGCTCATAAGAGATCGCTCTTTGTACTCGATGATGTTCTTCAATGGCTTATATGATGCTGACACCAACGGCATCATCAATGCTGTCATCAGGACGGACATCACCACGACAATTGCAAACGTCTCTTGGGCGATGATCTGTGACAAATCAAACCAGACAATGATCATTAGAAAGAAACTGAAATGCCCAATCTTAGTCATTATTCAGAACAACTTTAGCATTTATGCATACATCTTTATCCCTTGCGACGTTGAGGAGGATTATTTCGGAAAGGCCAGGGGAGTTCATGAGGAAACCGAGGGAGAGACCTTCGGACAGGGGCATACCAAAGTATGAAGATGCCAGTGTCGTGGTAACCACTTTTGCGAAGCTCGAGAGGATGAAGATGAAGATGAGGATGGCAATAATATCAGAGTGCTCCATCGTTGATAAATCAGTCCTGAACCCGCTAGCACTAAAGTATATTGGCAGGATTAATCCTGTAACAAAAGTCTCCAATCTCTCAACCAGTGCAGTACCATGGGTTCCATATGGAAACATCAGTCCATAAATGAACGCCCCAAAAACACCATGAACGCCGATGAAATCAGTTACGTATGCAGATACCATCACCCCCATGATGACCACGCCCAGGTCTATATCGCTCATAGGCTCTCCTTCCGGCGTCCTGTCCACGAGCCATTTTAATACCGGTCGCACCAAGACAACGCAGATGATAAAGAAGCCCAGGCTCGACAGCAAGATGTAGAGGAATGGTAGGCCGTCCATCCCTTTATCGGCTCTCATAGTTCCTGAGAGTACAGCGACAAGGGCAAGCAACACCCAAGAGAACAGATCGTTGACGACAGAGGACAATATGGAAACTCGACCGACCTCTGTGTTCAGAAGCTTGAGATCTCTAAGGACTCGAGCGAGCACAGGAAATGTAGTGATTGATAGAGCCAGAGCGAGATAGACATAAAAGGCATTGTTCTTTTTTTCTTCAAGGAAATAGCCGCGAAAGAGGTAGGCAGCAGTCAAGGTGATCGCAAAAGGAAGCACAATGCTAATCGCTCCGATAGCCATTACTTTCTTCTTCATTTGCCTTAGCACATTTATGTCCATCTCAACTCCAACCATGAACACAAAGCAAAGTAGGCCACAGTTACCCATCGACGACAGTATGCTGATGCTTCTTGGTGGAAAGAAATGAGCCTGAAATCCTTGAAAGAATTTTCCCACAAAAGATGGTCCCAGCAGCATCCCTGCCTGCATTTGTAAATGTCAAAAATCATCATCTATCAAAATTTAATATTGAAATAAGAAAAATATGATACTTGTTTGCATCAACATACTAGGATCTCAGCGAGGACCATAGGCTGGCCAAAGGGTTTCAAGATAGCATTAAGAGTGCGACTGGTCAGCGTTATTATAAGGAGTTGGATAAGGAAAAGAGGGAGAGAGTATCTTAGAGGATCGTCGTCAAGCCATATTCCATTGGTGATGATCATATAAGGGGAGAAACACTCTAGCTCTACACTAGGAGTTGTCGAATTCAACACGCTATTGTTCATCTCTGAGGCTTGAGCCATTTGAGCACGAAGACTGCTAGCTTCTGCTCAACAAAAGAAGAAGAAAGCTGGAATAAATTTGATATGGAATTGAAAAAGAAAGAATGAGAGGATTAGAATTTATATTGAAGATTAAGATGAAAGGAATCGGTTGTCCAGTTATCGAGATAGCTGTTGAGAGATCTGTTAACCGAATATACGCCTTTATTAGAAAGGAAAAACTGTATTTCTATGTTTCTCTAATATTAGCAACTATTTAGCGTTGATCAACAGAAAAACAGAAATATTTGTAGAGGTAAGGTTAAGTGGCATTGGCTAAATATGGAGTTTGTGTTGGATATTTTTAAAGAAAAGGCAATTTTGCCTTAATAAATTCTAATAATTTTTTGTAATTAAAATATGCAATTAAAATATGTTTTAATGTGTTTTAATTTGTAATTAAAATGGGCATAATGACTATACATTATGACGAACGTTACGAAATTTATTGAGGGATTTTGTAACGGCTCTTTTCAACCCCTATATAAACAACATATGTTGAGCTCAAGAAACATGAAGAAAAATGTGGAAAACTTATCTTGTTTTCTTTTCTCCTCTACATATCATTTTCATCTATACTTTAGTTTTACTTTATGGGCAACTTCTTCATCTGAGCTGAAGCTCTGCACTCTCGCCCGAGTGCAGAGGCCGGGCCGTTTCCGGGGGTTTTTACCGCTAGGGGAGAAGGGATCATCTGCGCCAGGGCGATAGGTGGGTCCTCAATCTTCTAGGGCAGTGTTTACACGACTGCTCCCGTCAGGCCTGTTTCTCTAATTTATATTATCTATATTTGATGTATTATTTATTTAATTTCCGGGTTTAAATTCATGCTATAATCTTTATTTATTTGATAATTCCCAACAAGAAAAACATAAATTCCTGTCATAGTTTGGAGTATAAAAATAAAAAATAAAAGGCCAAAAACAAAGTAAGATCCATCAATATTTGAAAAAACATTTTATTTCATCAATATTTGAAAAAACATTTTCTTTGAAAAAAACATTTTATTTCCTTCTTCTATTTTGTAAGTTATCGTAAGAATTATGAAAAATGTTTGAAGCTTAATTTTTGTGGTTAAAAAAATGGATTTTAGAGCATGAAGAGCTAATGTTAGTGAGCTCATATTGGAATTGATCCTTTATTTGAGTTATCTTTGCTCCTGTATGAAATCGCATAGGTGAGACCTTTTTGAGTATTTTCATGTATTTCGATGAGTCGTCTTGGTTTGTGGCATTCCCTTTTTTTTTTGGAAAATTTTTTAGTGGAATTTGGTGTGAGACGAAGCTATCATTCTCATTTTGCGTAATGTTTTACTTTGCTATATTTTCGAATTTATTGGTCGAATGCTACGATTTGTTTGAAGCTTCATGTGTATGGTACCGAAAAGGATTTTGGAATATGAAGAACAAATGTTAGTGGACTCAGATGAGAAATTGACATGGAAAAACCGATTTCTGGAAATTTCGAGAGCGCAACTGATATACATGCATGGTCTTTCTTATAAAATGTAGATGGACCCAAATCAAGCTTGTTATAGCTCCTTTTTTTGGTTATTCTTATATACATGATGAAGGAAGCAAGAAGGTAGTTAGATCTTAATTAGTATTTATTTATTTATATATGTAATTTAATTTGTTATTTTTTTATAATCAATGACATTTAGAACCTTTTAGCATTAAATGGTTAGGAGACGTAGGATCTATAGCTCTTTTGCTCAGTAATAGAGAAATTTGTTTTTTAACTCTAATCTAATCGACCCCCTTTCAAATATAAGACCGTTCATCTTTGAGCTAGTGGAGGCGAGGAGGATGGTATAAGCATAGGGGAAGGAAGGGTTGAGGAGGGGATGGGTTTGGACATAAGAGGGGAGGGGAGGAAGAAGACAATTGCTCTGGGAAGGTGAAAAAAGTAGAACTAAGAACTTTGTGGGAGGGAAAGATGGGAGCTGGAGATCGGAGATGAAACAAAAGTTATCTTTTGCCAAGATAATGGTTCGCTGCCCTTAGAAAGATGCAATTTTTTTTAGAAATGATTATTTTCAAGATAAAAGAAATTATCACAGAGATAAATGTGGGGAATGAAAGAGTGCTGGGTTTAATTCGTAAGTAAATGGGCGGTTTTGAGAGGGATAATTATGTAGAAAATCGACACTTGTCAAAAGAAAACACCAGGCTTTTACTTTATTAGATAGCAATAATGATAATAATAATAGATAATAGATGGATGTTGCCAATTTCACTATTGTTATTATTACCAACAGACGCCCACTAGATTTGTCTTTTTTAATAAACAAAGGCACATATAATTTCCTTAGTATGCAGGACTTAGTCCTATTTCAACTTCTAAATTTTATTTGGTTATACACTAAGGCCTGTGTTCTTAATTTGTTTTCAAAATAGGCCCAATGGGTTTAGGATTTGTTTAAAGGGAAGCTCATTTCAGTTCATCTGTATTATAACCTCACTTTTAAAAGTGCGGTCCATTTGGAAAAGGGCCCCTTAAATTTTCACCTTTAACCTGAGCCTTCTTCTTATGTATTATCAACATCCTGAGCACAATTGGGATTCCTACTTCCGCGTTTAAACCCAAACAGGCAAGTACATAAACTTATTTGCTTTTCAACCCAAACGATTTATTTATTTTTGATATCTCCTCAAATGATTGTGTTTCACATGTAATGCACTTTATTTTATTACAAAAACCTTAAATTCGAAAACCCACCTCGCCACTCTACTAATCACCCCTGACTTTGAATTTATTTATTTTTGATATCTCCTCAAATGATTGTGTTTCACATGTAATGCACTTTATTTTATTACAAAAACCTTAAATTCGAAAACCCACCTCGCCACTCTACTAATCACCCCTGACTTTGACCTTACAACTTACTAATCTCATCTCTCAAATGAGGGATCCTAGAGATCTAGCAGTTACCCTAAGGTCAGCCTGGCCCAAGGATAAACGATCCAGATCCCCCCCAACCCCCCCCAATCTTAGGATTAACGCCTGAGATTTTTCCACCGTCAAAACAGATCACAGCGGCAGTCCTTAGTCATAGAAACTCATCGTTGTCATTGAGGAGGGTACGAGCCCAAGAATGTCATAGCGTCGTGGCCTATGATTGAGTGACATCTTAATTTTGAAGCAAAATTATTAGTCCCGAATGTCTTTGGATGAGGAAAGCTCGGGATCGTCAGTACTAGAAGTAAAGCGTATATGTTATCTAAAATTAAAGCCCTTAATATCTAGGTAAACACACTTCTATGTCTTCTGATGCAAAAATAAAAACGAAAAAGGGTGTTAAATAGGGTTAGAGCTAGTAACCTTGAATCTGAGATTCAACTCAAACCCATATTCATCTCAAAATCAATGCGCAACTAAAAACAAGTCTGTTTCCATCTATCTATATATTTTTTATTCCGATATCAAAATTTTGTCTCAAATCAACCCATTAGAATATGCGAATTGGTTGGAAGATGAAGAAATAGGGTACTTTTGAGTATCTTGGTTTTCAGTTGCATCATCTTCTTTGTTCAAAAATAATTGGTTTGTGCATTTTGGATTTTACGAGAAATGTGTGGGCTTAACTAAAGCCCAGGCAACAATTTGGTTGACGGGTGAAAAACGTTTACATTTTGCTATTTAGTTGGCTAGCATCCATAGGCTTTAGTTATTTTTATGGCTGTTTAAACTATTAGTTTAAACTAGTAGTCCCCAAAATTAATAAATTGAACTACATCCATCAAAATTTAAATAGATATAATTAGTCTCCCAATTGCTACTAGTTACCACAAAGACAGACAAGTTATGATTTTCTCTTTGAACTTAAATCAGGTGTGGTTAAAACCCTACCTTAGTTAAACCAACTTGAATCAGCCCAAGTTAAATTTCGTTTACTTGTTCAATTCTTAAATTGAATGTTTTCTTAAACAGAGTTTAAATGTATGATATAAATATGAATGGACCTATGATTACCTAGTTTATTGGCTTTCTAGATAGGAACTGTTGATACTTCACTCCATATTAAGGCCATCAGGATCCTAAACATATAAAAGAGAAGGGGAAATAAGAAATGTTTTAAGTTTGTAAACCATTAATTCATTTCATTTTGGAGCATTTAAAGCGTAAAATATAAAACGGCATGAAGAAATGTAAATTTATTATATTGGTAGATAATATATATTTCACTAATGCATAGAAATTGAATGCCCTCATGCGACAGGCCAATTGAATTAAGAACTAAATGTAATATGTGGAGTGATTCTAGAACCTTACTAAATTCCAGTTACTCTTGTTTTCTCATAAATAAATAAATTAATTAAGAACGCATAAAAGGATCCATCAATAGTTAAAAAACATTTTATTTCATCAATAATGATACTAAACGCAAATCAAAGAAAAAGTTGACATAGAAGACACCGTAGACATAGAAGAGACAGTGATATTAAACTCAAATTAAATAGAGTTTTTTTTGTTATTGTTGTTAAAATGACAATTTTTTTGTTTGTTAAAATGGCAATTCTTTTTGTAGTTAAATAAGAATTTTTTTGTCGTTAAAATGGCAATTTTTTCATTTCCTATTGACTACTAACTCCAACAAGGTTGTGTGTTTAAAAAGGGAAAAATGTGTCAAGACCCCAAAATAAAAAAGCTATTGTGACAAGGCCCCCCATATTATTTTTTGTGTGACAAAGCACCAAACACATGAAATGCTTGTGTTTCAACCCTTATTTACCTTTCTAACACAACACAATGAGAAAGTTTTTTTTTCCAAATTCCAAAACGGCCACCTCTCTCTCTTTCCTTTCTTCTCACGCTCAAGTCTCCAATCAGCCACCATCATCTCCCCCTCTAAGCTGTTGGCAAACAGAGGGACGAGCTCAAGATCCGTCGGGATTCACTGCCGTACCCTGCCAGAAATAAGATCGAGAAGCCTCCTCCGATCCCCAAACTCCAACTTTCTAAACCGTGCCTTTGACTCCTCGCCGGCAACTGCCACCGACGACATTGAAGCAGATCGCCTCAGAGACGCTCGTTCTTGGCTATAACTGATTTTCGAATCAAATCAACTCTTTTACAAGAGTTTAAACTCGCTCTGAGTTCCTAAACTTATTAATAGTTAATTTCAAATTTGCTTTGCAAGTTCTCTACAACGTTAAATCGTGTGGAGAAGATATCGTTCTAGTGAAGTGAGACGTTCGGATTGTCAACGAGAAGCAAACTCGATACGAAAGTCGAGGGAGGCATCTCATCGCTACTGTGAAGAACCTAGGTTAAATAAAGGGGAGGATCTTTGCCGATCTTCTTCTCTTTTGTAATCGGAAATTTAAATTGTAATCAGTTAGAGATTGAGAGAATTGTAAATATTCTTTTTCTAAGCTGTTAGAAGGAATAAATCAAATTCAATTCTATCATTTTCTTATTGCAAATTTCCCACGAACACTCTGTCCGGTTCCCTTCAACATGGCCCATTTTCCTGGGTAATTACTGTAGCTATCAGGTTCTAGTTGCATGGTTGGTTTCTTGGGTAAAGGGCTAGGGGTGGGCAAAAACCGAAAAAAATCGGTTCAACCGAAAAAACCGCCCGAAAAAGCGGGCCGGTTAACCGAACCGGATTAAATGGATGAGAATAAGACTCTAAACCGTCCGAACCGAATTAAAGCGGTTTGGATCCGATTTGAACCCCTGAACCGCCCGAAAAAAAACCGAACCGAATTTTCTAATTCGTTCTTTGTCGGATATTCATATTGCTCAAAATGGGAAGGACTTCGTCGTTCAGAATTCGATCAAAATGGAAAGGACTTTTGGTTCGGACGAAGTCGGATGGAATAGCTTTCTTATTAGTGAGTCATCACTTGAACATTAAGCTATATAATTGCTCGGTAATTTGATTGTTATGTTTACATACATGTTTATATTGTATAGTTCCTTTTTCATTGGGCCTGCTAGCGTATATGCCCGCATTAAAATCGGTGAAACCTCATATAAGCTTTCAAATTCTACTAGAGGCATGTTAAGTTGTTTTCCAAGAAATGAAAGATAACCTTTTGATTATAGTTAATTAATATTTGAATGTTACGTAACCATATGTACTTGTTGATATGGTTTGCGCTCATTTCACTGATTTCGGTTTTTTGTTAGCTGTGGCAATGGTGTTACTTCAAACAAGCTCCACATTTCATTGTTTGGGGGAAAAGTTAAGTAGACAAAATGGGCAAATAATGATACTTCATCAGAAATTAATAGACAATGATCTCAGGTGTGGGCAAATTTTTGTGAAATAGTATTAATTCGGTCCAAAACCGAAACCGATCCGAACCGATCCGAATTTCGGTTGGGACGAATATTCGGATGAAGGGAAAAAAATCTGGATCTGGATGAGAGTTTTGAGAATTCGAAAAATTCGGATTGGATGCGGATTGAGCTTAAAACCGATCCGAACCGAATATGCCCAGCCCTATAAAGGGCTATCCGGTTGGGCATCTGGTGAAGTGAAAACAATTGGAAGTGGTAAAAAAAGTGCGCTTCTCTGTCAGTTTTCTTTGTTTTTTATCTGTTTGGTTGGTTTTGTGAAGGTGTTGATGTGGCACGAAAATACTGTTGTGGCACATAAATCAGAAATCCCCCTAAAATGGCATGATCCAAAAATTAAAAAATTGCAATAATCCCATCCCTATTTCTTTTCACAATCTCCCCCCAAATCCCTAACCTCTCCACAATTTCTCTCTAACCAAAATATCCCCATCATAACTTTGACGCCGTTAAACCCCAACCTCACGCCTGCCCTTAGGGGTGCTAAAGTTTATCCGTATTCGAGGAAATATCCGTAATTGTATTCGTTAAAATACGAATATGGTTACTCAAATCTATAACCGATAGGATATGATTACGTATAATTAGTGTAATTATTGTGCTAATTACCCTTTAATATGGATTATTGGCTTATTAACATTAATTAGCAGATGATGATGTCAACTGTGTCTGGTGTCAGTGGAACCAAAAGCATTGTAAGAACAATAATTGCACTAATTCACATGAACCGTTTTACGTAATGATTAGGTTACATTACGCAGGCACAAAAAGAGTGGTAAAAGAAGAAAAAAAATTCAAAGAAAAAAAAGCCCAAAAGGTAAGCAAAGACAAATTGAATATTGCTAAAGTTCGATATATGAAATGGAACAACCAATACAAAGGAATGAATCATCATCATGCATTGGCATGAAAATATGCCAAGAGTCCAACCATGGGTGCATTTATGTAAGTGGTGGGCTCTGATTGCGTAAACATAGATCTCAAGTCGAGGTACCGATCATCCTCGTCGGGTCCTCCCACGATGGCTCCAACTAACAAGTTAGGATTGGGTTGACTGCTCAAGTAGAATGGTGTTCCACCCTTGCAAGGGATCTTCTCAGGATGCACGTCCATAGATGGTAGAGAGGAAGCGCGATGGTGGATCCTCTGCGGAAACTTATCGCCATAACCTACCATGTAGGACATTTGTAATGGGTTGTCACTCAGAATATAATCCACCTGCGACATAATGCATCATCATTAGCAAATTATTTGTTGAGTAGTACTTCATATCAATTCGAAACTTTGTGCACTAGCAGCTAGCTTTTATTTCAATTAATATATGTTTGATACCTTGCGCATTGTATAGTGAAAAAAATTGATATTAATTGATGCAAAAAAAAAAAAAATCTAATACTTCAAAATTTTCCTCAACTCACAATAATAGCGATACAAAATAATAGCTAACCCTAAAGGTTTTTGCCCCCTTTTTTTGATTCTTTCTTTCTATATTTCTTTTATTTTTTATGGTTGGGATTACTGAGGATAAAATGAGACAGAATAACGATACACTATCATCCCTTAAAATAGAACATATCAGTATCACTAGTAGAAATCAGCAAAGTTTTGATGGGCACATCACTGACGGCCAAAGCTATCTATTTGACCCTGAAATGAACCTGCCCAATAGGAAATTTCTAATTCTATAGGCCTTTCGATACAATCCAATAAATTGCACATGGACGTCATATTCTAGGATCCCAAACTATGTGATTGAATAAATTCGTGTTTAGTCAATTTAGCTCTTACTACCGGATCATTCAAATCAGATTTCTTTGTTATTGGGATAGATGCATTTTTATGGATCCATCCCCCGAAAGGAACCTGACATGATAAATTTTCCATCATCCTGCTTGAGCAAAAATAAAAGGAATAACGGAAATAAAACCATAGAAAATCTAACCATGTACGTATTTTGTAGGGGCATTCTGAAATTATTGTAGGCAAGCTCCCCGCACTTACTTCACTCTAAAAAATCACCCCCTGAACAAACACGCCTGAAATTATTGTAGGAAAGCTCCCCGCACTTACTTCACTCTAAAAAATCACCACCTGAACAAACACACACACACTCTCTCTCTCGTTCCCATAGGCCATAGGCAGACCGTTCGAGATCCCACAAGCAGACCCAGACCTAGTTCACGAGCCGGTGGTATCCGCCTGACCTGGCACCCACAGCTAGCCGCCGCCACCCACATTCGTACTAACTGGAACCCGTAGCCGCCACTATTACTCCCATTTTTTGAGGTATGATTGTATGGTATTTTTCAGTTTTATTATGCGATGTAATGATTTATTTTTGCTTTTGTATTATTTTCCCAAATAAAAGCCTAATTGACCTTAACCCTAACCAAACCCCTAACTTAAAAACCCTAATCTTGACCCTAAGAGCTCTCATCAAAATAATGCTAACCAAAATAATCCTCATCCTAACATTACCCTAAATCTAGAACCTTAACTGAACAACCAAAATAATCCTAGTACTAACCTTGACTACATTACCCAAGTCTAGAACCCTAATTCAACTAACTCTAACCCAAAATCACCTCAATCCTAACACTAATTAACTAATTTAACTTTAAATAACTCATGTCACAACCCTAATTACTTTAATTAATCCAATTGACCCAAAATAATGCTAATACTAACCCGAATACTATTACCCTAATTAAACTAACTTTAACCTAAATTTACCCTTAATCCTAACCCTAATTGAACGAATTTTACTTTAATAATCCTAACTAACCCTAATAGTTAAATTTACCCTTAATCCTAACCCTAATTGAACGAATTTTACTTTAATAATCCTAACTAACCCTAATAGTTGTTAGTAAAATAATCCCATCAAAGTGAACGAATTTTACTTTAATAATCCTAACTAACCCTAATAGTTGTTAGTAAAATAATCCCATCAAAGTATGGCTAATCCTAATAATATTATATTACCCTAACTCCAGAAACCTATTTGAACGAATTTTACTTTAATAATCCTAACTAACCCTAATAGTTGTTAGTAAAATAATCCCATCAAAGTATGCCTAATCCTAATAATATTATATTACCCTAACTCCAGAACCCTAATTAAACAAACTTTAGTACAAAGTATGCCTAATCCTAATAATATTATATTACCCTAACTCCAGAACCCTAATTAAACAAACTTTAGTATAGTAATAACAACTTAATTCCAACTCTAAATAAACTAGTTTAGCATTAATATCCCTAATCCTAACCCTAATTATATTACCCTAAGTTTTTGGACTCTTATTTAACTATGTTCCTAATCCTAACCCTAATTATATTACCCTGAGTTTTTGGACTCTTATTTAACTATGTTTAACTTATAATTACAATCTACCGTTAACCCTAATTAAACGAGCATTGAGTAAACTAAGGAAATAAAATAGTTATAATTCCTAAAATCAGTATAACTTGTTGCAAACGACGACACGGACTTGTGCAAAAAGGTAGCAGATGGATTTTTCTTTTTTCCATTTTTAGTGTGTGTGGTGGGGGTGGGGCGTTTGAGGTATGCCAGAATGAAAATGCATGTACCTAAAATATTCTTGTACAATCTAGAAATTTGCTTTGACTGTGGTGAGCCTATTTATAGCTAAACTTTCAAATAGTTTAGTCACATTTGAATCAAGATGACATCCTTAGTATTGTTGTACTGAGGACTAGGAGATACAACTATTAGCAGTGGCGGATGCAGAAAATTTTCTTTGTGTGTGTGTGTGTGGAGGGGGAGCGATAAGTATCTATTTACCTTAAATAAAAATATAATATAATAAAATTATAGTACCTAACAAGAATGTAGCTTAATACGCTTTAGCTACTACTTTTCATGGTATTTTGCATATAATATGATAGTTAAGAAAAAGTGAGAGAGTACTGGGTGCAAATATTTTAAAACTAGGAGCACGATTAGCAAATTTAAAAGAAATCAAAGGCAAATTTTAAATTGTTTGGATGTAGTTGCACCCCTAACTCATATGTAAATCCGACCCTGACTATTAGTACCTGACTTTTGGCTAGTTCTATAAGCCTTGATGGTGGAGCAATAACACCATTGTTGCAAGTGACAATCTGATTATTCTCGTTAATGTATTGAGCAAAGACAACAAGGAGAAAAGAAAGTGTTGTGGGATTTTGCATGTTGCTTCCTCCCGGCTTGAAAAGAAGCCCACCTAAAGATGGCAGCAAACTCAACAAGCTTAATGTAGGCAAAATTACAGATCACATTTCAAAGCACTTATTTTGAAAGATGAATTGCTTATGAAAGTTTATTTGGCATTTATAAGTCCAGGTCCTCACCATGGGAGTAATTCTTAGATTTGGTGGGTGATTCAGGTGAGCACAGCACTGCACAGACAAAATCTATGTGCTCCTTTACAAGGTGTCTGCATGCTCACCATGGGAGCACATAGATGTCTGCATGCTTGCAGACATGTCGTACAACTATCAGATTTGCGCTAGTGATATTCATCACTAGTATATTGTCTCTCCTTTTTAGTTACTTTAGCAGATAGTAGTGCTATCAAGGCAGTAGATCCTCCTGTTTTGATTTTGAAAACATGGGGTTGATCCTCGTGTTTTGATTTTGAAACGCGGGGTTGACTGTTCGCGTGGAAAACTGTTTTCTTTTTCATTGATATGATTGTCATCTTGGGTTACAAAGATCCGGTCTTTTATAGATCCGGTTACAACTAAATCAAAGAAAAAAAATAAAAAATTACAACTTTCCTCTTGTGAACAAATCGCAAGCTCCTGTTTTGCGGTTGCTTGCTTGTGTGGGTTCTTTGCCGACGTCGGGGTTAATCCGTGGACCACCGCGCGATCTAGATCCGGTCGGATCTACACGAGTATGCGGGTATTATTCCACGAAGGGAATAATAGCCGGGAGGGATTAATCCACCAAGGGAATAATCGCTCAGATCTCGAGATCTAAGACCAAGCTTAGATCTGGAGTGTAGTCTCGTGTAGATCTCAGATCTGTTCTTTCTTCCTCTCGAGATCCTGCCTTTTCTGACGTGGATGGTCGCCGAGGATCAGATCTGAATGTGCAAGTCTTCTGGTCTTCAAGCTCCGAGTTCACTCTTCAATCCGGCAGAGTTTCGGCTCTTGAAAGTTCGACCTCCGAAAATGAACATCTCTAGGCCTATTTATAGGCTCTCAGGACAGTGGCTGCAAAAAGGGAAATGTCGGCCACCTCTGGCCACTGTCGGCCACCTCGGGCCACTGTCGGCCACCTCGGGGTGGCCGACACTGTGCCTAGCCACCTTGGGGTGGCTCGGCTCATGGCCGAGCCACCCCAAGGTGGCTCGGCCACCGAGCCACCCCGAGGTGGCTCGGCAAAAAGACGAGAAATGAGGATGACATAATGAATATACATCTAAATAAGTGAGTGATCTGTAGCGAGTGGGCGTGAATCATATATCTTTATTTGAAAACAGAATAGTCATCTTTACACATTGTCCAACGCATTATAGAAGCTCAATCGTAACCTAATGACTGAAAGATCCGAGATATGCTCTTTCTCTAGAGTTTTTCGTTGCTGAAAAGGACTTTTATGAGAAGAGTGAGGATGAATTAGAATCAAATTTTTGGCAAAGACTGATCAGGTTTAGACACAATTATCTCAACATAGTACACAACTCAGCTTTCCATTGAATTGTGTAAAGCTTTTATCAGTGGGAATCAAATTTTTTTGAAAACTGAGATTTCAAGCTTTTATCACAGTTCGTCCAACGTAATACACAACTCAGTTCTTGAATTATGTTGAAAGCTTTGTACGAGTGGAAATCATTTTTTTTTAAAACTAGATCAGCTTTACACATTATCCATCGATAAACACTTAAGCTTTCTTATTGTGTTGAAGCTTTGTACGAGTGGGACATCATATTTTTAAAACTGCAGGCTTTACAGCATTGTCCAATCGTATAACATCTCAGCTCTTCTTGAATTGTGTGAAACTATTGTACGAGTGGAATCATTTTTTTAAAAAACTGAATCAGCTTTACATCATTGGTCCAACGTATACACAACTCAGGCAAAGTTTTATTAAAAGCATACTAGATTAGTACATCACACAATAGTATTCGTTATTGTGTTAAAATTATTCATCTCCATTTTCTGCATACCTCACGTCATTCTTATTCTTACTGACCAAAGATGAATTTTTATGTTGAGTTCCATCATATTTATCACAAGTCTTGCATCTCGGATAATGATAGATGTTCTGACTCAATATCATTGCAGAGATTGATGAAACGAAGAAGTAATGTTGTGAGTACAATTCACAACAACGATGATCATCGCTAAGAATTTACGGTCACAAAAACTACCGAACGCGATTCATGGGGGCTCGATTCTGCGGTCATGACAGTGATCAACCGCGATCGATGAAACTACGCAATTCAGCATGTTGTCATATATTACTCTTTGTCGATAATCCACTGTTTGGATGAAATATGTTTCGTCTTTTCGATATCCGGATGTCAAGAAGTTTGTTCATTCGTATTGTTGATGCGTGAAAGATCATGACGATCATTTCCAAGAATGAAATGCATGGGACTTTGGTAGAATGGATTATCAACCGTACAGAAAGTAACAGCTGGTTTTCAGCATGTTGGCATAGCGTCTACCAGCTGATGCTATGGACGAATAGCGTTAAAATAGATCGAGTCAACAGCAATTGAAAGTATGACAAGCATTATTGTCATGATATGCGGTGGGAATAATCGGCAGAGCGGTATCTACGAACACCTTAAACTGCTTAACAATATTGCTAAGGGCCTACTCTATATTCGGTAAAAAAATGATTTTCCAGGAATGTTAGGGTCTTGATTGTATGCATTGGAAATAAAAAAATTATCCAACACATGGGTCTTTGGCAATACACAGGCGTAGTGGGTCACCAACTATTATCTTGAAGCTGTGACAGATATGATGTTGGATATGACACGCATATTTTTGTCTATGCCCGGCACGCAATAATGATATTCAATGTGCTGAGTTATCTAATCTTTTTCTCCAACCTCAGCTCAAAGGTATTTGTCGCTCGGCTCACTATGTTTATTCAAGGAAAAGGTAATAATATGGGGCTTAATGTATTTTAGGCTGATGGTAATATTCAAAATGAGCTACTATTGTACAAACAATCCAACAGCCACAAGGTAGGAAGAAAAAAATATTTTGCGATGAACAGGAAGCATATGTAACAAAGGATGTAGAACGTGCAGTCCGGCAGTTCCTTCTCAATCAGATATGCAGATTGTGGCAGGATTCAAGAACTTTTTTGGAAAAAAGCATGTATACAATGACATAATGACTGCATGCATATTATGCAGCAATATGAATAATCAAGGATGAACGTGAATCTTTATGACCAATTCAGAAGTGAGTGCAAGCAGCACCCAGAAGTTAAATATGAGTAGCAGATGAAACTACAAGATTTACGTCAATTTATTGCAAAAAGTCAAAGGATAAAGATGCCCATATTTGCTTCCGTAATAGCATTGATAGATCATGCTATGGAGGAAATACACTAATTCAGATAGTTAAGTGCATACTAAATTGTAAATTGTACATTGTTGTTAATGTTTAATTATTTTCTTGTATATTATTTGCTTTTGTGTTCTTGAATGTAATATTTTGCAAATATAATAATAAAAAATAATATTTTAGCAATTGTTTCGCGGAAAAACTGTTATCTTTTTCATTGAAATGATTTGTCGTCTTGGATTACAAAGATCGCCGGATCTTATAGATCCGGTTTACACATAAATCAAAGAAAAAAAATAAAATTAGCAACTTTCCTGCCTTTCGAACGAATCGCAAGTCTGTTTTGCGGTTTGCTTGCTTGTGTGGGTCTTTGGCGAGCGCGCGGGGTTAATCGTGGACCCGCGCGAGTGCTAGATCCGGTCGGATCTACACGAGTATGCGGGTATCTAATTCCACGAGGGAATAATACCGGGAGGGATTAATCCACCAAGGGAATAATCGCTCAGATCTCGAGATCTAAGACGCAAGCTTAGATCTGGAGTGTATCTCGTGTGACTAGATTGTTGCTCTTTCTTCCTGCTCGAGATCGCTGGCCTATTTTGACGTGATTGGTCGCCGAGGATCAGATCTGAATGTGCAAGTCTTCTGGTCTTCAAGCTCCGGGTTCACTGTCTTCTCAATCCGGGCAAGAGTTTCGGCCTCTTGAAAGTTCGACGCTCTGAAAATGAACATCTTCTAGGCCTAATTAATAGGTCTCTCAGGACAGTGGCCTGCAAAAAGGGAATTGTTCGCCACCTCTGGCCACTGTCGGCCACCCGTCAGGGCCAACTGTCGCCAGCCTCGGCGGTGGCCGGCACTGGTGCCTAGCCAGCTGAAGGTGGCTCGGCTCATGGCCGAGCCACCCCGAGGTGGCTCGCCACCGAGGCCAACGCCCGAAGGTGGCTCGGCCTGCCGCCGAGCAGCCCCAAGGTGGCTCGGCATTGGCCGAAAGCCACCCCTGAGGTGGCTCGGCCACCGAGCCACCTCAGGTGCTGACCTTGGCCGACGCACCTTGAGGTGGCTCGCTTTGGCCGGAGCCCGCGCGGCGGTGTTTCCGATCTTTTTCGAGTCCGTTTTCCGTTGTCTTGTTGTCTGTGTTTCGGTTGACCTGGCTCTGATTTGATGATCCTGATTTGGCAGTAGAATTGATTCCTGATTTGCAAGTAAATCGCTTCTTGAGTTCGAGTCCGAAATTGATCTTGATTCGATCGTGATCGTCCGGTTTCCCCTTGGGTTGGGATGACTCGTTGACATCTCTGCGAACAGCTTGGCTTTGAATCCCAGCATGCCGAATGGACGTATTTCGTTACTCTGCGTGGATCGTCGATCTCGTCGCCGTCGTTGTTCGTCGGTTTTGTGCCGAGCTGTGGCTAAGGGACCTATAAGCAATTTATATCCTACGAGATACCCTCAAAGTATTTTCAGCAAGAACCTCGTTCTTTTTATAGAAGAGTCGGAATACTTTGGGATATGATTTCCCCACTTCAGTCCGGTGTAACGGGACTCCGAACTGGCTTCTGTCCTTGATTTCCTTTAATCCTTCAGGCTATTGGTGCTCA